TTTTTTTTTTTTTTGAGAATTTTTTGCTATAGGGCACATGTGCTCGCCAGAAAGACAGAGAGAGACAGAGAGATAGAAGCGAGAAATCACCCCCCAGAGGGGACGGCCACGCTGCAACCCCTTCTCCTCCATTCTCCTCTCAGGATCTTGGGCACGCATGCATGTGCTTCCAGCACAAGTTTAAGCCACAGGGTCCGAGACTCGAACTGCGGTCGGCTACATGGGAGTTCAGCGACATAGCCATTACACTAACTGCTGGTCCCAAAAGTTGGAATCTTGAAAGTCACTTTGTTGGGGCAGGCAAGTGGTGTGGTAGTTAGGGCACTGGGCTCCCACAAGGCTAACTATGATTTGAGTCCCAGACCTAGAAGCTTGCTTTCTCCCTTTCCTTCTCTCTCTCCCTCTGTTTCTCTCTGGTCAAATTAACAAATAATCGTAATAAATAAAATAAGTAATTATTTTAAAAACAGTCACTTTGTTAACCATATCTGAATTTCTTTCCTTTGCAGGGCAACAGGCTTTGGCTTTTTGAACGCGCTGTGCAAAGCAGCTGCTGTCCTGGGCAACTTAATATTCGGCTCCCTGGTGGGCATCACCAAAGCCATCCCCATCCTGCTGGCCTCTACTGTGCTCGTGTGTGGAGGACTCGTGGGGCTGCGCTTGCCTGACACACGAACCCAGGTTCTGATGTAACGGAAACAAAGCCATCCTTCGCGCGTTCCCTCCTCCAGCCGTGGGTCGGTGCTGACTGACTCAAGGCTTCAGATGTTCCGTCCATAGAAAGGTGGTTGAGTACCAGAACACAAACTCTCGCTGTGACCTAACGTTTAGATGCATATCATCTTGCCCCTTAAATGTGATTTTGCACAGATTTTTTTCCCAAGCGTTGTTACCTTTCCTGTGATGCTACTGCCTACCCCCCCAAATCTGTGGAAGCATTTCTAAAATGTCCTAGTCGGCTGGGCTCCCCCGGGTTCTGCTCACTGAGGGTTTAGAGGCCGAGGACTGTGCTGGTATAAGAAATAGAGCCTGGTCCCAATTCGACATTAACAGGAAACGTAAGTTGGCATATTATTGCATTTGTGCTGAGGAGAGAGATTCTTTTTTTTTTTAACTGAGTGATATTTCCTGTTTACTTAGAAAAAGACACCCAGCAATTCTCGCTGTTACAGCAGGGCCTTTCAAAGAAAACCATGTGGTACCAAACAGGGCTGGGTGCGGCTCTTTCGAACAAGACAATTAAGGTGACTCTGCTGACAAGAAAAATAGAGGGTCTGTGGTTAGTAGCAAAAATCTGAGTGAGCAGCGCAAGTGAGAGTTCTGTCAGAAAGCCTAATCGCACTTCTGAAAGAGGACCATAGACGTGTCTGTGATTGTGGCACAGGGTTCAGAATGCCTGAAATCACAGGCCAGAGAGAGATCTTTGGCCTCCTTTTCCCACCTTTCCCCTGCAGCCGCCATTGGTCTGGCCCGAGAGCAGGTTCAAGGAAAGAAAGCCACTTCTTACGGGCTGTGTCTGCCTGCCTGCTTCTGCCTTTCGTCCAAGTCATCCTCCGTCTAGAGATAGGCAGTGGTTGTCCAAGTTGTTGTAATTTGCAAATTAGGAAGACACTAATATCTAAAGCCTTTTGGAAAAGCAAAATTGTACTTTCTGGTACCATTTTCCTAAGGGACAGTCCCACCCCACCCTGAGCTTCCCCACTCCCTGCCTGCTCATTGGCTGCACTGGAGTGGGTCCCCCAGCTCCCCAGGACTGACACACTGGCTCCTGGCTCTAGAACCACCGCCTGCCTGCATTCCTGAGAGGCCCGCTCACAGGCAGCCAGGGACACTGTCTCCTGGTGGCTGTTGGGCTGCTCATTTTACCTCTGGAATCTGCCTGGGCTTGGAAGAGCGAGGTCAGCAGGACATTCCCACGGGCCAGCTGTCAGCTTCCTGACCTTCTCTCCTGTTGGGCTGCCCCTCCCCCAAGCTCACCCTTTTTACACATCTTCTTTGAAATCTGAATCCTCCTCGTAGACTTGCAGTGATGACCAGCAGCCAGAAATAAATTCCATGTTTAAACAATATTCCTTTTTAAACTCTCTGTGTCTTGCTAGAGTGCTGTCCTTGTTCCTGATTATAGGCATTTCCAGCAGGGCCACCACCCTGGGGCCTCCAGGAAGGGAAAGCTTTTGTTTCAGCTGCCCATTACATTCAGAGATGCCCTAACTCCCCAGAGGCCCCTCTGCCTCCCCCTCCCCTTCCTAATGATCCCTCCTAAAACTCAGATTCAGGGAAAGGCTTCTTTCATTAACATAAACCATTAACAGAGTCCCCCTCCAAGTGATTCTGGTCTTAGAGGGGACAGCCTAGTGTTGGGGAGTGGCAGAAAGAGAGTGGTTCCCTGGGGAGGAGGGCTCAGGACCAGATCATCAGGAAAACCCAGCCCCAAAACTGCAAAGGGGGCAGGAAGAAGGGAAATCAATAAAGACTAGACAAGATGGATGTGAGTGATACCAACAGAGCAGGGAAAGAAATAGAATTTACTCTCTCTCCTGCCTCCTGTTGTAGTATTGGAGAACAACCACAGCAAACAACCCGAGAACGTGCCCTGTGTGTTCCTCTTCTTCCACATAGACCCATTTCTCAATTATCTACCCCTTGATTTGCCCTCTTAAAAAAACCACATATTTGGATATTTGAAGTCTTAGTTGAGCACAGCATGTGCAGCAATAACTTCAAAAGTAAGGTGTGCGTCTCCATCAGCTCATTCAAATGAAAAAGGAAATGTGCATGGTGTCGCTGTCTCTAGTCTGGTACGATAGTTAACTTTGCAATCATTTTGTTTCAGAATGTTAATCATTTCTGTCATAGGGCCTAGATACATAAAATGTCTCCCGAGCTACAGAGCGCAGTTATTCAGCATTTTACTTGAACACTGGGTTGGGTCAACAAAGGATAAACTAGTAGGATCCTGCTTCATGAACCCTGCTGCCATGTGTCCCCGTCAGGAAGACTATGCCTGGCTTTCTTGTCTTCTAATCTAAGCCTCCCAGGTGGCATAAGAGGGACCTATTCTAATCTCCTGGACAGTCTATGGTCACAAACCTTCTTGGTCACCACCTTTTCCAATTTCTGTGCTCCTTTCTCTGCCCCCCTCACATTGGTTCTCACTTTGATTTTCTATGCACGAGCTCAAATTGTTTCCAAAGTATGTGGCATGGCCTGTCTGGCTTGTTCTGAGTTCAGCTGGCAATTAAGATATAACAGAGATTAAACAGAAGCTCTCATTCTACCAGGAGTAGCCCCTGGCACCCGGATGTGCAGCTGGCATCTCATTTCGTCCACAGTAAAAGAAAAATCAAAGTGTGTGTGAAAAATGAAAGCCTAACAAAAAGCCAAAACCACTTGATCCTATACTTCTAATTTCTTTTCTATCTAAAATTTCTCCATAGCAATTTGGAATCAACCCAGAATTGGTCCCCAACCCTATTATGGTCACAGGATCTTTTCAACAGGAAAAACAAAACACAGCTGCTCCAAATGATGAATTTTGAATCCCATTACACTCTGGGCATTAGGTCCTAAGACACCCAACTGTCATTCAGTCCAGCTGCCTGAGTCATCTCACACCTGGGGTACTGACCTGGGACACGAGAGATGGGTCCTAGCCTATGCCCACCACTCACCAATAGCAAGGCCCGAGTTTTGCCAGGGAGAATGAAAGTCTTTGGCCATCTCTGGTCCTTGGCTCCCCTGCCCACAGAATAAAGGATTGGGATTAGTTTGCTCTCCACGGTGCTAGAGAATCATCTGAAAGTAGATTCGACTTACCATCTGCCTTTTTTAAAAAAAAAAAATTACTTCATTTTATTTATTCATTTATTTTAATTTGATGAGAGAGAGAAAGTTGAGAAAGCAAGCCACCAGGTCTGGGACTCAAACCCTATTTGGCCATATGGGACTGTCCAGAGCCTTAAGCACCACACCACCTGCTGGTCCCAATGCTAAACTCACCTTCACAAGCACTGAATAGGTTTGGTTTATTCATTTAAAAATTAAGAAGTAGGCAAGCATAAAAAAAGATCAGGAAGTTGTTTGGGAACCCCACCACCCACCCGCCTCGGCTGACACCGTACCTAAAAG